TCACAAGATTCCACAACTTAGAGGGAACATTGCCCCCCCACCCCCAGGCTGCACGTCCCACATCTCCAGGACTTTCCCAACCGGGAGCTGGCATCCCTACCTCCTTTTGTCGCTGTGCCTCCAGTTCCGGAGTGGACTTGATCTGCCGGTCCCAGGTTCAAGAAGCAGCTGAGGGGGGTTGGTTCTGTTTTCTGTGCTTATCTTCCCGCTCACCTAGTTTGGCAAAGGGCCACCCTCTTGGAGGGCTTTAGTTGGATCTTGCTCAAAGGCCAGTGAAGACAGGGAGCCAGAAAATGAACAAAGAAAGGTCCCTTGTGCCTGAAAGCCATTCCAGGGAGGGACCAATGGCCGGAGCAGTAGTGCTGGACTTGATCTGCCAATCCCAGGTTCAAGAAGCAGCTGAGGGGGGCTGGTTCTGTCTTCTGTGCTTATCTTCCCGCTGACCTAGTTTGGCAAAGGGCCCCCGTCTTGGAGGGCTTTAGTTGGATCTTGCTGCCGACCTGCTCAAAGGCCAGTGAAGACAGGGAGCCAGAAAATGAACAAAGAAAGGTCCCTTGTGCCTGAAAGCCATTCCAGGGAGGGACCAATGGCCGGAGCAGTAGTGCCCGCCTGGCCTGCAGAAAGCCCCCCGGACCCTCTCTTTGGATCTCGGTCAGCACTTCTGGGAAAGCGAGCTGGTTGTGTGGATTTAGGTGGACCCCCGGCCTGCTCTTAAAAGGGGCTGCTTCCTAGGAAGAACTTTCGTTTTCTCCACTCCTTCCAAGATTTCTGTCGTAAGAGGATGCTGGCGCTCGTTCTTACGATTAGGTAGCCTGATTTTGAGGCTTCTGGTCAGGATCAGACTCACAGCAGTTTAGAAGTAGCAGCGCCGTGGGCATCACAATGGACATAGTGTCAGAAACCCCGTTCCTAGCTTTGCGGCAGTGCCCACTCTGCCAGGTTGGGCCTGTGCAGTTTTCACTCCCTGTAAGGTCTTGGTTGCCAGTCTGCACTATTTTATTTATTAAATTAGATTTGCTGGGCCACCCTTCCCTACAGGTACGGCTTAGGGCGGCTTGCAACAGAGTGATAACAAAATTCTTTAGTTTAAAACAACATTAAAACCAGTTAAAAACAGATCAGTAAATGGAAACAAAGTACGTGTACCAGATGGCGGAAAAATCGGCTCCCCTGGCCTCCTTGGGGGGAGGGGTTACGAGGGATGGGGAAGTGTATGAGAGTGCCAGATGTCATACTATCCCCCTGTTGCTGTTCTCAACCAAAGGCCTTGCGGAACATCTCTGGCATACATGCCCTGCGGAAAGGTAAATAACTCCCACAGGGCACGTATGGCTTCTGGCAAAGAGTTCCACCAGGTTGAGGACAAAATCCAAATGCAAAAGAAGAAGCAAGCTGTATGCAAGCACTATACAAAATCAATGCTTAAAAAACACGGG